TTATTTAATTTTTTGTCTCATTATGCCCCTATTTGAGCCATATTAATATTTTCATTCTCATTCTTTTACTCATTTTCAACCACACATTTTTCAATAAAATAATATTTTATATCACATCAATAATTTTTCCTTCTTTTTCAACCACATATTTCCCATCACATCAACAGTAAAAATACATTCTTACCTTCAAAATGTGCACCAAACGGGGGCTAAGTTTATGAATAATTTGAGGTATAAAAATCTACAATTACCGTTTCTTCAGTACTGCGCCTAGGGAACTTGAGAACTCCTGTTTGACTTGTACTGTTTGAAACTTGACAACTTTGTGACCCCTCTTGACAAAGATGCACATCAAGCCATGACTCTTTTACCTTAAGGAAATGGAATAGACAGGTTTTGAGCGACGGACTAGAGAAATGATCTTTGTTATACCTGATGATGAGAGGTTCACCTGCTGGGGCAAAAGTGGGTTTTCAAAGAAAGAATATTCCCTAAAATTAATCTTTGGCCCTAATTCCTTCTATGGAAATTCCCTCAACATTAAATTAACCTGAAGTACAATACAAATAATTGAAATATATCAGACCGAAATAAAAATAACATAATCTATATACAATTCCTTTTACATAGTTTTCAGTTTTTTCCATTGCGTGACAAAGTTACAACTAATAATGGAAAATATGAGAAAAGCAAGACCATCGCAGAAATTCCTCTGAACCATACCAATTTTTTCTTTTTCCTTTTCAATTCCAGGTGATATCAAATAGGGATAGTAAAAAAAAGGAGTTAAGAGATGAAGCAAATGGACATTTCTTTTATTTTCGATTCTTTTAGCAAGACAACAGAAGGCCACATGAAAGTTCATAAAATTGATCAAATACCTCAAACACATGATCCAATGGACTTATAAATGGTTGCCTTGTCAAAGTGCCCACCAAAACCCAGGATATCCAAACCACAGTCTATCCAACCTGCACCATAGTGGACGCATTACCTAAAATCACGAATAATGAAAAAGATAGATCAAAACCTGAACCTGAAAGAAAAAATTGTTAACAAACAAGTAAATTCAACAAGTCAACAATTTCTGTGTTAGATTAAGCACCAAAGATATGTTATTGTTTCTATTTAGATGCTTTTACTAAAAACTCCAAGGAGAGAGAAATTCTAATAAAATGATATATAGAAAACTCGTCTTCAACCACATTATGCACTATGTCTAGTTGAACAATTAATTCTTATCCTTTTTATTTTAACCAATGCTATGTGGTCAATTTAACAGTTAATCTTTTTGTAAGTTCAGAAGTACAGATTGTTCTTTCTTTTCAGGATTGACAATTTGTATTTGATGAAGAATGTAGAAGAAAGTCAATATACAGATTCATGATTATAATACTATCTCACCAAGTTAGACCAAGACACATGGAAACTAAGGTGTCACTTGTTTTTGTCTTTGTAATATAAATGTGCGAAAGGAAGCAACAATTGATAAGGCTGATAATTCAAAGCAAAGGTTTTCACTATTTTTCCATACAGTATAGTTGCCAAATAGTTCTCAGTAGTGTACGATTCAACAATGAAGCACTGGCAAGTGCAGTCCTTATTTGTTTGACCTGAAATCATTTTGGTTGATGATTAGAAAAAATACATGGACGGTTCTCATACATGAACAGGGCTTGTAATG